TGCACCATGGAAATTTTTTATTTTTTGTAAAGCATGAAATTTTTGCTAGTTGCCATGGAATTTCACTTTTTTCTAAAGGTAGTGTGTGGTAGTTTTAACAATTATAACAATCGATGGCAATTCTTGATTTTTTTGGGGGGGCATTTTTATTGTATAATTTCTTCTCAGTTTTTTCAGCTGGTTTTTTATCATTTTTTCGTGTTTTTACTGCAATGTCATTTGTTAATTTTACGTTTTTATGTACACAATAGTTTCTGATCATTTTTTTCACTTTTGTTTAATTTCTGTTTGCAAAGGGAAGGGGCCAGCAGGCCTAGCATAAGGTCTGGCTAACGTGGGGCGGGATCGTTCGGGCTGGGGGGACATCGTAACGAACGAAACCCGTTCGGTCGTAGTGCCCTGGTGCACTAAACAATTCGTTCGGTCCACTCCCCTCCCATCCCGAACGATCGGGAGATATCGGTGTCCTATTACTTTGTTCTCAGTAACTTAGTTTTGCGCCGTAGGATCGTTAGCACGAATATTAGAGCAGGGAGATCAGCCATGTCACCCTTTTTTTGTTCGGAAAATAAACGCCTCGTCACGAACGCCTGTCAGATCTTATCCTCTTCCCCCACCGCCCATTCTACATCCCACCCAGCACACTCAGGAGAGCGACCATGCGGCGGTGACGTCGGAGACGAGGCAGGTGGCGGCGGAGACCAGGAAAGTAGTTCACTGTCTCGCAGCTCCACTGGGACCAACATCGTGGTGTCAAGCGGCGGAGACGAGCGGGCTGTGCCGTCTCCGAGGGCGGGCAGAGAACTCGACGACGAGGGCGTCGAGCTTGAGCCAGGCGAGTGGAGGCGGCGCTACGTGCGGCGGGCGGTAAACTCGGCGACGATAGCATTGAGCTTGAGTCAGGCGAGCGGAGGCGGCGCTACACACGGCGGGCGGCGAACTCGGCGACAAGGGCATGTACACCTCCGGCTTGTGCACCAGCAGCTGCTTTGAAAGGAGGCGTGGGTCAACGGAGCGCTGGCGGGGGTGGCCAATTCACAGGTAGTTTTCTCCCCTGTAATCACCTATGTTGTCACCCCATAGTGTTAAGAGAAATGGCTCATTCAGGGCGCTGCGAGTTATGAGATTGATTGAGGTTTCATTCCAAACTCGTGTAACTGATGGTGAATCTGTGTGTTGACATGTAGGATCGCACTGAGAAGGTTGGCGGTGTGAAAGTTTAAGATGATGAGCTCGACGTTGCTATCGTTGGTGGAGGCATGGTGGGCTTGGCTGTTTGCTTGTGTAGTGTGTAAGTATTGATGCCTTTGTGTACTTCTATTCCTTCGATTAAATTGTTCATGAGGTCACCTTAGTGTTACGCTTAGGCTGAGAATCGATCCCAACATTAGCTATAAAAGGAAACTTGGCACTATTGGAATAAAGTTCTCAGAGATTCTTCCAGCCATTTTTATTAGTTCAGTATGAAGTATTACTAATAATATTGTTAGAATGGTAGTTGCAGAGGAGTTTGGTGGCTGTATGTGGAAACCCCCACTACAATTTTTCCATTTTTATATGCTTTTAGCAAGAACAAAATTTACCATGGCATTTTCATATGTTCTGTCACCACTGCATAGAAGATCTTTATGATTTCATCTTCTTACAGTGGTAGAGATGTCATGGCATCAGTCTGTAGTTTTTACCATGTTGTTTTTGTGCTAGAAATCTGACCCCCACATTTACCTTGGTTACTTCCAATCTGTAGTTCTTGGAGTTAGCATATGAAGTTGTCATGGACAATTTTCAAGCACACACTGATGTCACGGGCAATCTGTAGTTGGGGTTCAAATAGCAAAAATAAATTTAGTAATTGACCATGGCATATTTAGTTTATGGATCATGGCAAATCCCGTGCCATGTCAACTTAAGTTTAGAAACCATGTACGCTCTATGAACATCAGATTTGAACATATGGCAAACCTATGAATTTTGTTTTTTTCATGAAAATGTTTCAAATTGATGTTACCATCATGGCATGACAGAATTATAAATGCATGAGGCATGGCAAATGTAGTTATTGGGTCATGACATTCTTCTCTACATGAACATATACATGCCATTTTTCCTAACAAAAAGCATGACATCTATAATTAAGAGACCATGCTAATTTATAACATACATCTTTCATGGCAAATTTTGTTCATAACTTGTGTTTGTTTTACATACATGATTTTTTTTCTGATATAGAACATGGCAAATTTAATTAAAATACCATGGCCATTTTTTATATGAATCATGGCAATTTTTTGTTCATAATTTGTGTTTGCTTTACAAAGATAGCATTTTTCTCATATTGAAAAAAAATCAATTAAAATAGCATGGCAAGTTTTGATATGAATTTGCCATGGCAATTTTGTTCATAAGTTGAGTTTTACTTTTTCATACATGACATTTTTTTCCCATACAAAACATGGCAATTTTTTATTAATTACCACGGCAATTTTTGATATGAATTTGCCATGGCAATTTTTTGTACATAATTTGTGTTTGCTTTACAAATATGGCATTTTTCATGGTAAAAAAAAGATGGCATTTTTCTCAAATAGAACATGGCAAATTTAATTAAAATAGCATGGCAAGTTTTTGATATGAATTTTCCATGGCAATTTTGTTCATAAGTTGAGTTTTAATTTACATACATGACATTTTTCTCATATAGAACATGGCAAATTTAATTGAAATACCATGGCTATTTTCGATATGAATTCGCCATGTCAATAATTTTTATTCATAATTTGTGTTTTATTTTACAAAGATGGCATTTTTCTCATATAGAACATGGAAAATTCAATTAAAATAGCATGGCAAGTTTTGACATGAATTTGCCATGGCAATTTTGTTGTTTTACTTCTTCGTACATGACATTTTTTCCATACTAAATATGCAATTTTTTTATATGAATCTGCCATGACAATTTTTTGTCCATACTTTTCTGCTTCAACTGCTCACTCTACATATGAACATGGCAACTAAAATTCATATGTTCCATGTGGTTGTTTGTATTTTGTGCATTCTATTATTTTTTCCTGGTAAGTTTTGCCATGTCATATTTCTGAACATAACTTTTTCCTTGGCAATTTTTGATTTTTTGCCATGCTATCTTGGAAACCATTTTTGTTGTAAACCTTGCCATTGTAAGAAAAAATATCATGCCAAATTATGAAATAGTTTGGTCAAACTCGAATGGAATTTTTTTGGAATTTTCATGTGTTATATAAGTATCATGTTTTAGTAAATACAAATTGAGGGGTATTGTTTTAGTAAATGGCTGTAATATAGTCACGTGGCAATTTTTCTTTCCATACCTTTTTAAGCCTTTTCGGCCCTTATAAAGTCCTTTTACTTGTGATCTCATATGGGCCTATTTTTGGCCCATATTTCCTTTTCCTTAGCGCTAAGTTTTCTCGATTAAGGGGGAACGGGTAGTTCGGGTTGGGAGGTTCTCCAGACCGAACGAAATCGTTCGGTCGGTACCTAGTCACCCGCCGAACGATACATTCGGGCACATTGTTCTCGAGACCGAACGTTCGGCCGTTATTGACGTCCTTAATAAAGGAGGTTTTCCCACTCAAAACAAAGTTGATCAAACTTTATACATACTTGAAGAACATGCATATGTATTTATTTCAACAAATGTCATTTTTTTTAACTTTTAATATATGTTCAAAAAAAAAGAGCCTCACTAGATGCTTGTTTTCTTTTAAGATGAGTCCAGAAGATGCCGCCAAACCCTATGTATCGCTCGTTGCGGCAAATTGTCACCAGAATGCACGCGCGAACGCACCAGCGAGAGCAAGTGGGCCGCCCGTTTAGGGTACACAGAGGCATTCCGGCTTGTGTTTTAGTACCGGTTTGGGGGAACCTTCTAGAAGCATTCTAAACTGTTTCTTTTTTGTTGTTTTCTGATTATTTCTTTATTGGGTTTTCTGATTATTTCTTTATTTCTTTATTGCCGTAATGCCTCTCCTCTATCTCGCCGGCCACCGTGAGCTTGCCGCACCTCGCTAGACAGCGCAGTCCCGTTCTACCTCACCAGACAACGCAGCCCACGACCACCCTTGCTTCATGACAAGGATGCAGATGCAGGCAAGCAGGCGGCGTTGGCATGGTGGCCGCGGAGGATGAAGGCAAGCCACGCGGGTGGTGGCGCTACCTCGTGCTCATCCTCGACCTCCTCTTCTCTACTGCCTGGGAGTGCGCGGGCGAGGGATCCCAGTCCAGGGCTGGCGCACGAGGAGAAGCTCTAGAGCGCGTCGATCATCTCCATCTGGTGCACATAGCAGCTGGACGAGGCAGCACCACGGGCACACCGGCGCAGGGCGTTGCTCAGCAGCCGTCAACGGCGTGGCACACGTGCATGACCCACGGGAGCAACCACCACTGTTCGGCAATGCACGACACACGTAGTGCAGGCTAGATGTTTGATGAAATATCTAAATAAGCCAATGAGAAAGGAAAAAGGTAGGAGAGGGGAATACCGCCACCTGGACGAAGACCGGTCAAAACCGCATTCAGTCAGCAGCGATACCAGGTGAGCCGAGATAAGGGACTAAATTTGCCCGGTTTCAAAAGTTGGAGGTGCAAGTTGTCCGGTTTTGAAGTTGGGGGACTAAATCTAGACTATGTCAAGAATTGAAGGACGAAAAGTATATTTTTCTCTTGGGTTTTAAATTTTTATTTTGGGTTTTTTATGTTTCTTGTTTTTATTTTACAAAAAATAATTTATAAATGTCCGCAAATTTTTAAAAAGCTCAAAAGTTTGCAAAAAGAATTGTAATATCAAACAATGTTCAGAATTTGGAAAATGCTCAAACAATTTGGAAAATGCTCAACCCTCAGCTGAAGCTGAAGGGAGTGACAACTACATGTAAATACTTTGTAACATTCAGAAAGATCATTGGGTTCAGAACAATCTGTTTGAATGTATGTACACCTGACACGTCTAAACAATATGCCCATCATACTCCCGCAGGGCTGCCGTCTTTCCTCGGGTCGCTCACCGCCGTCAGCATCCCGCGGAACACGTTCTCGCCGCCACCACCGGCCCCAGAGACCGGCGCCAGCAAGTCCTGCACGATCAGCTGGCACACAGCCCCGGGCGACGTGCTCTCCAGCACGTGGCCCCTCCGCCGTAGAAACTCCATCGCCTCGGTGCTGAACTCGATCACCTCGCCGTCGGCCATCGTGACGTCCTCGTACCGCACCACGTTGGGCACCAGCTTGTGGTACACCCTGGGGCTCTGCACCGCGGCGAGGGGGCTCATCCCCATCACGAAGTGGTTCAGGAACACCTGCGTCACCGCCGTGATGATGTTGGTGCCACCGCTGGCGCCCACCACGCCGGCCAACTGCCCGTCTCTGAGGATGATCGCCGGCGTCATGGAGGAGAGCGGCCGCTTCCCCGGGGCGATGAAGTTGGCCGGCGCCGGCGGGAGCTTGTCCGGGGCCGGGTTCGACGACGGCACCGAGAAGTCGTCCATCTCGTTGTTGAGCACGATGCCGGTGGACGGCGACAACACGTGCGCACCGAAGTAGTAGTTCACCGTCGTCGTCATCGCCACCGCGTTCCGGTCGCCGTCCACCACGCACAGGTGGCTCGTGCCGTTGTCACGCAGCTGGCTCCATCTGATTGACCGACACACACAAAACATGTCACTTGTCGGTGCAAAGGGACGATACGTGCACAAATGTTGATGCATGATCGACAATGGCATCCATAAATAAAAAATTTCGGACGTACGTACTTTGCGAGGTAGTAGGCGGGAGGGAAGGTGGTGTTGTCGGCGATCCTCCGCCGGATCTTGTCCGCGAACTCCGGCGATATCATCTCGGAGACGTTGCCGGCGACGTTGACGAAGCCGGGGTCCCCGAGGTCCATCCGCACGGCCAGCATGTGCTTCACCGCCTCGATCAGCCGGTGCACGCCCAGAAACCCTCTCAGGAACTCGGTCGACTTGTACCCGCCCAATACGTTCAGCACCAGCGCCAAGCCGACGGTGCCGCTGGACGGCGGCGGCATGCCGAGGAAGGTGAAGCCCATGGCGTCGGCTTCCATGGCCTTGCTCACCCCCACCCTGTACCCCTTCAGGTCCTCGAGCGTCACGATGCCCCCCGCCCGCCTCACGTCCTCCGCGAGCCTCTCCCCGACTGCGCCGCCATAGAACGCCGAGATGCCGTCCTCCGCCAGGGTCTCCAGCACGTCCGCGAGCGCCGGGTTGCGGCAGAGCTCGCCGTCGCGCAGGAGCCGCCCGCCGGGCGCGAACACGGCGCGCAGGCCGGGGTCGGCGAGCACGTCGACCTCCTCGTCCTTGAGCGCATTGGCCACGTAGGACACGATGGTGTAGCCGTCGCGAGCGAGCGCGATCGCCGGCGCGAAGAGTGACTTCCACGGCAGCCGGCCGTAGCGCGACCACGCGACATGCAGGCCGGCGAGCTCCCCCGGCACGCCCATGGCCAGCGCGCCCTTGAACTTGGTCGTCGGGTCGGCGGCGTACATGGTCTGGCAACATGCAATGCACGTAGTTTGAGCCAACCATCAATTCATGCAATGAGTTACAGGAACTAATTACGTAGCATGGCTAATTTTTTGCCAAGAATTAACATGGTCAACTAATTAGCAATTACTACTACATAATTAAGCACAAATCAATGGAATTAACCACGAGCAACCGATCCATGCAAATTAGGTTAGCAATGCAAAATCTGAACTGTTGTGACACGCACGTTCGCTGTCGTCCAACATGCGTGAACTACTCACTAACATGAGAGATGATTAGCAAAGACCATATGAATCATGGTGGTGGCATTGCTTAATTTATTTTCTCTTTCTTTCGAGATGGGGTAGGTGGAGGTGGGTACGAGAACGCAAAGGCCTCTCTTGATTTGTTTACAGTTACGGACAAGATGTGGAGTACCATGTGTATTGATCCGTCCCTCGTGGAGCACGAGATGACTCTATGGACTATCGCCGGAAACAGAGATGAAAATGTTGTCAACAGGATGAGCTAAGCTAAGGAGAAGGCATGATTAATAAGCTAAATCAAATGTTTTGCACCCTTATAATCATTGTAACTAAATCTCTACATTATTATTGTTTTTGTGGGAAAAATCTCTATATTCTTTGCTTGGACACTCTAGCAAGATGCATAGTCCTTGTCATGGTAATTAATTTATATTGCCTGTCACATTCATTGACATTCATTGAGCAACCAATCCGTTCCATTGGCCTAAGCATACAGGGCCCACCGTACAGTGTATTTGTCCGCCAAGGAAAGGATACAGGGCCCATCAGACGGTGACCACTGAGCACCCGCCCAAACCATAGTGACCATACGCACGGGACCCACAGGCCATACGCACGAGCGCTACGAGCGATCGAACGAACGAACGCATGGGCGAAAAAATCTCGCTTTTCGCTGTCACGAATGATTGCAACGTAGTAATACTAGTAGAGCAAACGTACCGGCGTGGCCGCGGCCGGCGCCGTCTCGCGGGCGTCGAAGGCGACGGCGTCGCCGGAGGCCGCGTCCCTCACCACGATGAACGCGCCGCCGCCGAGGCCGCTCGACATCGGGTGCACCACGCCGAGGCAGAGCGCCGCCGCCACGGCCGCGTCCACGGCGTGCCCGCCCGCGCGCAGCGCCGCGGCGCCCACCTCCGAGCACCGCCCGTCGTCCGCGGCCACCGCGGCCGCGCCGGACTCCACCTCGTGCCGGCTCTCCCGCGCGCCAGACACCCTCGAGCTCCGGCTCCGATCAGCGGCAGGCTCGGCACCGGGGCTCAACAGCAGCAGCAGGACGCCGGCCAGGGCCAGCAGCGCCACGGCGATGCCCAGCGCGGCCCACGGACGGCGGACACGGCGCCGCGGAGAGCTCGCGTCCGGCGAGACGCCGGCGCCGCCGAGGAGCGGGCTCTGCAGGGCGGCCATGGCCGGGACGGAGCCAACGAGCTGAGGATTCCTTGGATGGTGAGAGCCGACGACGGTGCGTGCTGCCGTAGCGCTCTGCTCTGTTGTTGTGCTGGTGTGAGATTTTTTTATAGCTCCCTCCAACTGGCCGAACAAGTCTCTCATTTTTATTGTTAGTTTTCTCGTTGTGAATATATCTATGACCCGATCAGAGACTGGGTTTCAGGATACAAAATTCAGAAGGGGAAGGCCAGACGTAATCGCAACTAATCCAATTGGCCATTAAAAAAACCGCAACCTTTGCTTAATTGCTCCAGGGCACCGGTGTGGATTGCCCACACTTATTTAGTGGACACGTTCTTGCCGAGTGTATTTTTTAGGTCTCATTGTGGACAGGGAAGCAGATAAGTGGTGCAGCAGTACTTGGCGCTGGATCAGCTTGCCTCTGGAGGAGTAGTACCTGTGTGTTGTGCTTCCAGGGAGGGAGGACTGCTAGCTTATGCCGAGCTTGCAATATTTTCAGGTTCCATGTTGGAGCCTGAATGCCTGATGGTTGTAGCTTGCATTAAAAACCTTATGATCTTGTTAGTGAAATCGGGGAGAAATCCCTTTCTTCAAAATAAAAAGATGTCAGAAATATCATTTTGGAAGAACAAAGTGAAAATAAAAAGGAAATTACTTTGTGTTTTTCTATCAGAGAGCAGAGTGGCCGTAGCCCGTAGCAAACTAGGAGGAAGGATGTCACTGTCGAAGTGTCGAGGTCACGCTTGTAGTTCTAGTTGCAGTCGTACTAGTAGTAGTAGTAGTGTTTCCTTCCACGCCTCAATTCCCCCTCCTCTTTCTTCCGTCTCGCCGCCGGCCGTATGTTTGTCTGCGACTCTCACCATTTAGACAAACCAGGAAGCCATTACAAGCGTCGCGGTCCATGTCAGAGAGTATTCATAAATTCTGTGCACACGGCGGCAAAACTGTCTAGATGCATCATCGGCTATGCATGTTTGCCGTAGTACGATTCTCTGGTCCTTGGCATTGATCGACTTGGCCAAAGAAAAGAAAAAAGGGAGCATTGACTACGAAAAATGAGTTGCTTCATTTACTTTTAGTTATCATAAAAACATACGTCAATATACATTTTTCATCCGTAGCATACATGAAATATATATATACAGTACATAAATCAAAATATACCTACTTTGTTATTGTATGTAATATATTTTTTGAGAGAGACTTATTTGTTGTTGTATTTGGGTCTGAATCTTGTCTTGTCTGCGTACAACACAAATCACCGTACTACTTTTGTAATGAAACCGTAGAGAAACGTGCGTAAAGATCACGTAAATGTTCCCATAGGAAGAAATGAATTTCTTTGAAGCTTGGAGTACAGTGATATTGGGGCACTGACATGTGGGCGTCCTTAATTAAGATGGGGAGCGTGACAGCGGACAGTCCAGTGGTTGGGTGAGCGAAGCCGGCGACACACACAAAAAAAGGAGCAGGCGACACAGAATTATTAGCATGCATTTCGCCTCGCACGATGGTGACAAGATTGCAACAGCGGACCGCACCGGACGCTGTCTCCGACCAAAATCACCCACACCCGCTTCGACTCGAACGGAATTGAAAAGGCCGGTCGTGCGTAATGATCGACGGATGAAATGGTTGGCACACCGCACGTGGCTAGCGTGGCCAGGCCAGCGATTATTTTTCTTCAAAAAAACAAAAAAGATGAAGATGGTTGGCTACAAAATGGCGGCAATTCCTACGTACAAAATTTGACAAACTCAGCGAGGCAGTTCCTACAAAATGGACAAACCAAAGCCAGCCATTGCATGTGTCGCTGTCAGAGCGCGCGCATCCATCGCCGTTTCGGTGCGATGGTTATTACAGTTGTGTACACGGCAGCAAGGCCCGTCTAGTCTAGATGCGGTATGCATGGCTGGGCGACCCCGGCCATCCTCCGTCTGCTTTGGGTCTCTCCAGGAAACACGCACGTCGCCTTCAGAAACAGCAACTTTCATTCCATGTACTATGATGTACTCGTATCCAACACGTCGCCTTTCACAAGGAAAAAAATGTATCCAACACATTGCCTTCAGAAACAGCACACACATACACGGGCACAAAAGACATGTCCGTCATTATCAATGAATGAGACATTCATTTTCATTCGGAACACACGAAAACATATTCCGGCCTCTCTGTGTCACTAGTTAGAAGGCTGCCGAGATGGGAGCGCCCGTGAAAAAAATATAAAGTGCCTTACGCGAAAAGGATCTCGCACAAGTCTGCGCCATATAGCCTGCTCCTGCTGGTGGGCTGTCCCATTTCGAGACAAGAGCCGTATCATCTTATCAGGATCAGATCCTGGAGTGGTGGACGAAGGAAAAACCTACCTAGGGAAAGCATCTGCAAGGATATGAGCATGATCACATATCTAGACGTCATTCCAGAAGCTAGCTAGCCTTCTCCCCATTACCAGCCTTGAATTCCTCCAACATGACCAAAAAGGGGGATGCCAAAGATGGGAATCCCCAGGCTTGCCCTTAACCTGGCTAAGAAGAGCACACCCGCTCAAACACTTGCAAGACAAGACCTCTTGCCAAGCTCCAGACTCATTAAACAGCTTTCATAACCATTTTGCCAACAAGGGTATTTGGTGGATCCCCTCCAATGTTGAACAATCTCCTTTGCGGGCATCCCGCTCTCTGCTCCCTGATTTGCTCGTCTTCGTCTTGGTTTTCTAGGTTCCGACATGTCTAGCCAGCAAAATACTTGTACAGTTAAGATCTCACGGAACTTACTGTCCAGTTGGCGCTGCATTTGGCATTGTTAACTTGAACAGTGCAACCAACATGATTTTAGTTGACTGTACTACCTCCGTTCGGGTTTATTGGTCCCCATTATATTTCGTGCCAAATTTTGACCATAGATTAAACTAACAAAGTGTTCATGCATGTCACCAAACATTATATATTTGAAAACCATGTTCAAATACGAATCCGATGAGATAATTTTTCTTGACATGCATTAACATTTTGTTAGTTAAATTTTTAGTCAAAATTTGACACAAACTACAAAAGGGACCTATAAACCAGTACGGAGGTAGTAGTAGCAATTAAAAAGGAACGGAGGAGGCAGGGAGAAGAAAATTAACAGAATAAATCAGCATCTATCGTACATGCCTAAGAGGAACTCTTGTGTTTGCCCCTTGACAATTATTCTATGTACTAGGCTGGTTTCCCAATGTATCCAACCTGCGGCAGTAAAGTCCTGCAAAGCCAAAGTACCCATCAGCACCAAGAAGACACCTGAAGTCACCACCAAACATCGAGTTTACATCGAGGACATGGCCATAATAACCGAGTAAAAAAGCTTCACTGAGATCATGGTCAAAAAAATATTTACCTTGCGTGACCTAATCCATCCAACCGTCGGCACGTCCTATTTGTTACAGCCCAACACTGGGATTGGCAGATCCCGCGGCAACGACTCCCATCCCACCTCCCTGGGCAGGCCTAGCGGCTCCGCGTTGTCTCAGCTGCGAGTCTGCACGACGATCTTCCACCCATTTGCCATCTTTGTCGATGTCTTGCACGAGTTGATCAATCTTGCGAAACTGGTACGGCCATGTCGAGTTGTATAGGAATTGCCGGAGATCGAACCTGTTATCCTCTGGTGAATAGCTCTGCAAAAAGTAGACTTATGTTATAGCAGCATAAGGCGGCAAATCTTATGCCTACAAACTGAAACGAGCGAGCACCTCGGCGTGATATGATGGTGTCAAGACCGTCATCTTGTGCCGGTTTATGGCATAGTACTTGAAGAAGTGCTTCACTTTATCGGCCACTTCTGAGGGGGATAATCGCCCACACCACCTGTGGCAGAGGTTCTGTAGCAAAATGTTTTAGCATCTAATACTTGGAAACATATTTGCACTGATGACAATAAATTCAATAATCCCACTGATAATTTTAGGATAAACTACTCCCTCTGATCCAATCAGCGACAATTAATATGGATCAGAGGGAGTAGTTATTTCCTGTATCCAATCCAAAAAAAAAATTCAGCAACATCATTGCAATAGTAAGACTACTGAAATAGGAACACTACTAAACACAATAGAAGGACACGGTGGCACTACTAAAAAATAATTTTAAAAATCTGAAACTTCTTGTGTAGATGGAAAGTAGCATAATCTAGCATACTGCACAAATTCAGTCCAATACATAACACATATTAAGAGAAAGTATTGGGTGCTCATGGTACTCCTAAATTAAAAATAAACCCCATAAAAGTCATGAAAATGTCTCATATATACACCAGAGAAACAACAACGGATGCTCCCAGTCTTGTTAGTACATAGACTTTTGATGTCTATTGGTAAGTTTTATTAAAGTTTAAAAATAAGTTTGTGGAAGTGTCAGTTTTTTTACTTCACAAAAGACCTTTTCTACCATCTACTATTGGTGAGAGGAGAGGTGAAAAACATGCAGGCGAGTAAAATATCAAACTTTGTGTAGCTATCCCCTTTTAAGTGTAGCTTAACTGAAAGAAACTGTATTGCAATCCATGAAAAACCGTAACAATGCAGACATACTTCATGTGACAGTAACTACAAACAAAAGGATGCAAAAGCTCGACATCATACATACATTTTAAGTGTGCTGCAAAATGATATCTTGAACTCTAATTTTCGGTTAGGAAACAAAATAATCAAGTCAGCTGTAGACCAACCTGAAACATCGAAACAGGACCGCATCGGAATATTTTCCTTAATCTCCCATATATCGATAACTCCTCGTATGTCATCCCCATGTCCACTTCATCCAACTACATAAATGGAAATAGGGTCAAATGAGAATACTTGAGTAAAGATACCTTAGTATAATTTTTGTTGATAGCAGCTGGCATAAGACAATCTTATGAACAAGTATAACTGAAACTTGAATGGATAATATGCTAATGGGATATTTTGAGGGCAATGTAACAATTGAGCTAAACAATGTTCTGTTACCAATCGCAAGACAGAAGCAGCATCTATATATATTTTAAGCTATAATGCACGCAAAGTACCAATAAAGAGGGGGAAAAGGAGCAGAGTCAAAAGCACCGGGAACACCAAGTTCCTGTCAGCAAACTAGAGCCAAACTGGAAATGAATAGAAT